GTGAAAGGTTTATGTCAAATGCTTCTAGAGTTCCAACCAAATTTACTAGTTCAGTGCTTCTCAACCTTTTTGATATCAGGATTCCTTTACCTGTTAAAAATTTAGAACCCAAAAAGCTTTTGTTATTTGGGTTATATCTATCAGTATTTACCATATTATACATTAAAACTTAGAAACATTTGAAATACTAATTCATTTTATAATAATCCCATTATATGTTAAAAATTTTATAAAAAAATAACTTTTTTGAAATAAAACAATTCCAAGAAAGAGGTGGCACTGCTTTACATTTTTACAACTCTTTTGTCTGACGTAGGAATAGTTGAATTCTCTTATCTATTTCTCCACTCAATCTGTTGCAATATGTTATTTTGGTTAAAACTAAAAAGGAAATCCAGCCTAAAAGAAACATGTACTTGTAAAAGGAAGGACTATTTCAATAGTCATTTACAAATAATTAAGAGAGAACTTTCGTTGATATTATGCTAAAACTTGAAAAGTGGTACTTTGCTTTTTTTAAAAATATTTTTTATTGATTTCAAAGAGGAAAGTTGGAGAGATAGAAAAATCAATGAGAAAGAATCATTCATCGGTTGCCTCCTGCCCACCCCACACTGGGGATCGAGCCCTCAACCTGGGCATGTGGCCTGACCGGGAATCGAACCGTGACCTCCTGGTTCATAGGTCGATGCTCAACCACGGAGCCATGCCAGCCAGTGGTACTTCGCTTTTTAATTTTTATGTATTTATTAACTCTAGAGACATAGAGGAAGGGAGAGAAAGACACAGAGAGAAAAACAGTGATATTTTGTTGTTCTACTTATTTATGCATTCCTTGGATGTTTCTTGTATGTGCCCTAACTGGGGATTGAACCTGAAACTTTGGTGTAGAGAGATGACGCTTTAACCAACCGAGCTACCCAGCCAGGGCTAACACGTGGTACTTTCTTAAAAGTTAGTTGCAACCATATCAATGAGCTTTCATGCTGTAACAGTAAAATATAATGACCTCCCTTGCACTCTGAACAAATCTTTAACCCATGCATGATTTTATAACATCATTGTCATCTGGATAATACTAGTTCACTGATTAAGCAGATTTTCAAATACTGATATTTTCATTATACAATATCAAAAACTCCACATTAATATCACCACCCATCTTACCCTAAAAGTTTGAGTGCTGAGAAGATGTTATACTCATGGTGGCAGATTCAAATTTACCAACAATTTTCACTTAAAACTCAAATTTTACCACTATCAACACGTTAGATGTTTTCCTTGAAGAGCTAGGTTCACCTTGCTCATTTTTAAGAAACTGTCAGCAAAATCCAAGTTTCAATAACCATAGTTCTTTCGAGTAAAATGGCATTCCATGAAGAAAGTGGCCAATTCAGGACAAAAGCCCATTGCCCAAGTGCTTTTCCCCAAGACAACCTAGGCAGAAGTGCTTTCTGCATGTTTTCCATTCTCACTAGACGGAATATTTAAAATATAGTACTCAAAAGGGAAGATTTAACGAAATGAGCAATTTTTCTGCTTTATCAAGGACAATCCTGAGTGGGAAATGGGTGGGTTTTTTCTTTAACTATGAGTGAAGAACGGTCTGGTGGTGCCACTGCCGTGATCCATGCTAATGTGCCAGCAGCTTTATGCACCACTGCTTTTGCACCATCAGTACAAATATCAGCAGGATGAGAATGGCAAATAACATATACTATAAAAACTGTTTGAACTCTGTGGACCCCACAAAAGGTTCTCAAGGACTCCCAAGGGTCCATCAACCACACTTTGAGAACCACTGAGCTAGATTAATGTTGGAGTTCAGGGTTTAAAACTGCTATGGTTTCTCCAAGATCCTCCACATGGACTTAATAAATATTTCCGTATCCACTATCTGTAGACCTATACAGAAGCTCATCAACTTATAGTGGGGTTACATCCCAATAAACCCATCATAAACTGAAATAACCCCATTCAAGTTGAAAATATTTAAAGTAAAAAATGCATTTAGTACACCTAACCTACTGAACATCATAGCTTAGCATGGCCTACCTTAAACATGCTCAGAACGCCTACATTAGTTAGTTACTGTTGGGCACAATCATCTAACAAAACACTGTAGAGTACGGATTGTGTACCCTTGTGGGAGCTGAGGCTCACTGCTGCTGGCCAGCATCACAAGAGAGTATCGTACCACACATATCACTAGTCCAGGAAAAAGAAAATTCAAAGTATATTTCTACTGAATGTGTACTGCTTTCGCATCATCAAAAATCTTAAGTCAAACCATTTTAAGTAGGGAACCATCTGTATAACTATGCCATGTTGTGAGATTAAGAGAACAAAGGAATTCCTGATAAAATTACATAGTGGATTATTGCTTTCAACCAAACACACTTTTCCCCCTTGCTCCATATACAATAATGACAAAATATTTTTATTATATAGAAAGACAGCCATGCTCAAATATCACAAATATATCTTTGGACCAAAACTTAGCAAATACAAGGTAATGAACTGATGACTCCATGGAACCACAGAGCTCCAGGACCAGAAATTAGCGAAGACAATCAAGAAATCAAATCATGCACAAGATAACAGGACCAAAAGCAAGGCTCATAGGTAGAAACGGAACAAAAGATTTCTGAAAGGAAGGTGAGGAAAAAAGCAATTATCAATAGCTAGTTACTGATTATAGCAAACTGTCACTGCAGCTGAAGAAAGGGCAATATACACAAAACCTGAGTCATGCATATTTCTGATATTGCAATTAATACTTCAGCATGGAATCCTGAACCTCGACTGAAGGTATGGTATATATGGGTAAAATCAACAAAAAATAGAGTTAGGGCCTGGCCGGTGTGGGCTGAACAGCTGGGCATCGACCCAGAAACCAAGAGGTCATGGGTTTGATTACTGGTTTCAGGCTCAATTCCAGTAGGGGGGTCGGTGCAGGAGACAGCCAATCAAAGTGACTCTCTCATCAATATTTCTATTTCTCTATCCCTCTCCTTCTTCTGTATCTAAAAATCAACTAAAACATATTTTTTTTAAAAAGTTACACCCTAGCTGGTTTGGCTCAATGGATAGAACGTTGACCTGCGAACTGAAGGGTCCTGGGTTCGATTATGGTGAAGAGCACGTGCCCGGGTTGCAGACTCGATTCCCAGGAAGGGGCGTGCAGGAGGCAGCCGACCAAGGATTCTAGCTCATCACTGATGTTTCTATCTCTCTCTCTCTTCCTCTCTGAAATCAATAAAAATATATTTTTTCAAAAATAGAGCCAGGAGTGCCAGGGGCAGGGAGAGTGGCATACATGAAGGGCACCAAAAGAAGAAAAATACATTTCCCACTCAAGATGCAAATTGTAAACTAAAATTCTCAAGTGTACTTGAAAACAGAACTAAGAAAGATGGCCAAGAAATTCATCAATATCTGAAGATAAACTCACCACCCAATAAAATGAACTGGAAAGAAGTTTAAAATAAATGTTTGATTCTTTTTTTAAAATGTATTTTATTGATTTTTTACAGAAAGGAAGGGAGAGAGATAGAGAGTTAGAAACATCTATCAGCTGCCTCCTGCACACCCACTACTGGGGATGTGCCCACAATCAAGGTACATGCCCTTGCCCGGAATCGAACCTGGGACCCTTCAGTCCGCAGGCCGACGCTCTAGCCACGGAGCCAAACCGGTCAGGGCTGTTTGATTCTTAATGAGATAAAGAATCGATGAGTGAAAAAATAGATGAAAAGAAACAAAATAAGTGGTTGTGAAAAGAATGAATTATAAACTTTCATATATTATAAAGTATTAAAAAAGATAGTACTGCCCATTAGCTGAGCAACAGATATCCGAACTCTGGATAGATTTGGTTAACATGAGATACTTAAACCCATATCCAGAACCAAAACTCAACAGCATTAATTCCTAGACTATAACAACACACACACATAGAGTAAAGTGGATAAGAAAACTGATGAAACCAACCAGAACGCAGCACAATGAAGGAAAAATAGTTTATATAAACCCCAGCATAATATTAACAAATTTTAATCTCTGAACTTCCATTTCTCATTCTCTAAAATGGATATGCCATCACTTTAACAAAGTTGCTTAAAGAATTAAAAACCATATAACCTCCCCCCAAAAAAGAAAAGGCAAATGGCAGGCTTGAAAAAACAGCTTTCTCTAGAATCAAGGTTAATTTTTTTTTAATGAAATTTGCCTCTTTAATTATAAAGTAACTACATCTACCATCCAGATAAATTCAGGAAACAATGTAGTTATTTGCATTTTCTAACTCCTATATTAGCTGAATAACTTAAGTAAATTACCTAAACCTTGGTACCTAAGAGGGAATGATGGAGATGTCTTTTGGAAGGTACTAAATTCTCAAAAATGCTAAGATCTACAAAAAAGTTTTGGTAATGGTCTTAAAGTGTTCTTATATAAACATTTCAAATATTTTTTAAACCTTTCTGATAGTGTATACTTCTCTGTCAAAAGAATTTATTGAAACAGTACCTCTTATTAGAAAGGCACTTGGATCACAAGTAATTAAGGACAATTTCTTCTTTGAAAATTCATGCTAAAATTCATAATTAATTGCTCTGCAATTTTTTAAAATATAAAGACATTGGCAATTTAACTAACCTAAATTTAAAATTTCTTTCACTATTCATTATTCTTAAGAAAATGGTTCCCTTTTCAACTGCTAAAAAAAAAGGAAAGGAATAGAACTCAGGCTTCTTATATTTCAAATGGAATTGGGAGAGAGGTATTTAAGTAATGAAAACAGCCACAATTTCCCTGATACCTTCACTCCACAAAAAAGGCTTACCAAAAGCCCAATTAAAAACTGTCATACACACAAAAAATTAACTTACTTCCCAGGGCCTTATAGTACTGAATCATCTCTAAAAGTGAAAAGACAGGAGGATTATAGCTGTGCATGGCCAATTTGTCTTTTGAAGTCAAAGCATGTCTCCCGTTACCTTGCAGCAAGTCCATGTGATCTGCATATCAATATATTGTAGGGTTGCAGCATCTGAAACCCATACCAACCATTAAAAGGTGTTACCATTATTTTAATTAACAAGTTTGCCAACACATGAAGAACTTTGCAGTTTTATTCTAGAATTCTTTCTAAATTATCACAATCGAATTTTAAAGAAAATTTTAAAAAGCTAAGAACCAAGACTAAAAGTCATGTAATTCCAATTCTCTTTATGTTACCCTCCAGTAAAATAACTAGCTCTATAAAAATCCTTTTAAACAGAAAAGCAATATACCAGTAGTTGATTTAGAAAAAAAAATAATTTTTATAACTCAGTTTTCTACATTAGGGTCAAATGTTATAGTAGAGGAATGAAAGAAATGCCAAATCACACACTGTGTAATAGGAGTGCTGCCTGAAAAATGTTAAGTACATTTTTAGTTGTTATAATTTAAAAACTATAAAAGATAAAAGTCTACAGAAGTGAATTAACTATCCTAAACTGATCTTTGTGAACTCACAAAGTATACTGACATAGTATGTTTGTGTACTCACATAGTATGAGTTTAATAAATGAAGCTCATTGAAGAACAGTAATACTTAGTTTCATTAATACATGATGGAAAATATATCTTAGGAACATATGTTGACCACGTGTGCACACATGCAGAGTGTTCAAAGTTACTTTAAAATGTTAAAATAAGTAAGGCCCCTGTTATCCTTGATAAATGTCAGCTCATGCACTCATGCCCAATACACACTATTTTTCACAAAGCAGAGTCCCAGGAAAGGTAATTTTGAATCCATCAGCACCATGTAATGGTTACACATAACAAATCCTATTCAAGGTCAGAAGTTTAGAGGTTTTCAATATCAGCTTCATAATAATGCAGGCTTTATGTTAAATATTTTACAGGTTCAAAAACAATAGTCTTAGTAAAACAGTTTTCAGAAACAAAGACAGAATCATAAGAAAGTAATTAAAAGTTTGGCACATGAGAGAGAGGGCCATTTATAATAAACTGAACTATTTGTACAGCAGTTCACTTTTATATAGTTGTGCTGATATTTAGGCCAATTGTATTTCTTAATTAAGTTACAAAATTAAGTACTACAAGAGCTATGTTATTACCAATCTGACCATTTTTATGTATATATTTTCCAAGTGTAATAAAACTGTCCTTTTTATGAACCCTGACTATTTACTGAGATCTCATCGCCATTCATTTTCATTTCACCAAGAGCAGAAAAATGGTGATTGTAGATTAGTACAGCAATTTAGATATTTGTTGTTCATGTCAAAGATGAATCTTGCAACTTTAACAGTTTTCTCTACATATTTTGAAAGAGAAATATCAAAGCAAACCAGCTTAACCTTCAGTCTTTTGTTAAAAGAAGCTTTTTGATATGTGACCTCTGCTCAAAAAAATTACCTTTTAAAGTAAATAACTGTTTGATCAACATTAAATTCAAAATATTTAAGCCTTTAACATTATTAATGCATTAATATTTTCCTATATATCATCACAGAACCAGTTACCTCCAATTTTAAATGTATCATTAGTCATCAGTCTTCTTTCCATACATAGAAGGAGACTCTTAAAGGTTTCAAACTGCCCAGCTGGTGTGGCTCAATGGCTGAGTATCAACCTATGAACTAGCAGGTCATGGTTTGATTCCTGGTCAGGTCACATACCCAAATTGTGGGCTCAGTCCCCAGTGGGGTGTGTGCAGGAAGCAGCAGATTAATGATTCTCTCTCATCATTGATGTTTCTATCTCTTTCCCTCTCCCTTCCTCTCTGAAATCAATTTTAAAAAATGTGTGGGGGTTTTTTTAAGTTTAAAACCTAAGAAGAAAATAAAAGGGGGGCAAGAAACTAAGTGTGGTCTGATTAACCCAAGTAAAATAACTTTGGCTTTTCCACTTGAAACCACAGCACTTAAATTAGCCCTAAATAGCAGATCCACCAAAATTATGGCTTTTTTGGTAATTTTTTGTAATTACTATCATAAGCTTGAGAACAAAAATTGATTTCTAAACAATTTTGCTGCAAGATACCCATTAAGTATTTCACTGCAGATAGGTCTGGGTATGACTTTGAATTAATTTTTTTAAGAAATTATTTTCAGCCCTGACCGGTTTGGTTCAGTGGATAAAGCGTCGACCTGCAGACTGAAGGGTCCCAGGTTCGATTCCGGTCGGGGGCATGTACCTTGGTTGCAGGCACATCCCCAGTAGGAGGTGTGCAGGAGGCAGCTGGTCGATGTTTCTCTCTCATCAATGTTTCTGGCTCTCTATCCCTCTCCCTTCCTCTCTGTAAAAAAAATCAATAAAATATATTATAAAAAAAAGAAATTATTTTCAGCCCTGACCGGTTTGGTTCAGTGGATAAAGCGTCGGTCTGTGGACTGAAGAGTCCCAGATTCGATTCCAGTCAAGGGCATGTACCTTGGTTGTGGGCACATCCCCAGTAGGGGGTGTGCAGGAGGCAGCTGATCGATGTTTCTCTCTCATGGATGTTTCTAACTCTCTATCCTTCTCCCTTCCTCTCTGTAAAAAATCAATAAAATATTTTTTAAAAGAAATTATTTTCAATATAAACTTTCTTGACACTTGAAAAAGATACTGTTGTAGAATTGACATTAACCCTATAATTACAGGATGACTAATATAACAAAGACTGATTTTTAAAAATTGAGGTGAGTTCAATTAACATGTTATTTTTGAAACCCAGGAATGTTTGAGACAGCAAACCTTCTGAAGTCAGTGCCATGAGAAAGGTAACAATATTTTTCCATAAAATTCCTTTATGGCATCATAGAGCTCTTACTATTCCTCAATACATCAGCTATGTTCTTTAACAACTTTACTGAGATCTAATTAACTTACCTTACACTTAAAGTATGTGAGTCAATGGCTTTTATTATATTCAGAGTTATACAACTGTCACCACAATTTTAGAACATTTTCATTATCCCAAAAAAGAAACCCAGTACTCTTGAGCTGCCTCTCCCCTTATCCTCACAATTCTCCCCCAACCTCACACAATCTCTTCCCTACCCCTACCTTAGGCAACCACTAACCTACTTTCTGTCTCTATGAATTTACCTATTTTGGACAGTTCATACAAATGGGATCATACAACATCTAGTACTTTGTGACTAGTTTCTTTCACTTAGCCTAATCCTTTCTAGTTCATCCACGTTGTAGCATATATCAGTACTTCATTTCTTTTTATTTCTGAATAATACTTCATTGTGTAGATATAACATTTTATTTATCCGTTCATCCATTGATAGATATTTAGTTTGTTCCATTTTTTTTTTGGCTATTATGAATGTTACTATGAACATTTATGTACAAGTTTTTATATGACCATGTATATTCTTAAATGAGAAATCATGAGCACTAAAAAAATCAAAACATATTTTGATAATATATGCAAAGAAGCCTCCAAAGTTTGCTAGTAAATAGGAAAGAAGCAGGTTCCTTAAAAATAGCTTAAAAAAAAACTGGCATCCAAATGTGCAGTTTTAACTATGACTAATATGCTGAGGGCTCTAGTGGAAAAAGTGGACAACATGCAAGGACAGATAGGTAATGTTAGCAGAAAGATGGAAACTAAGAAAGAAGTAAACAGGACTATTAGAAATAAAAAACACTAACAGAAATGAAGACTGCCTTTGATGGGCTTATCAGCTGACTAGACACAGCTGAGGGGGGAAAAAAAAAAGAAAATGAGTTTGAAGATATATCAATATGAACTTCCAAAACTGAAATACTAAGAGAAAAAAATAAAAAAATAATTAAAAAAATGTCCAAGAACTGTGAAATGATTACAAAAGGTAAAATATATGCATAAGAGGAATACCATTCATATGAAATTCAAGAAAAGGCAACTTTTTCTATACTCATTTTTCTATTCTGATGAACTAATAAAATTTAGGAGTTAGATAAAATGTTATATGCCCACACAAGCAATCATAGTCTTCACAATGTAAAAATAGTAAAAACACATGGGGCTGATTCAGATTTTGACTAAATACCATTAAAATATTCACACACGCCTGGCCAGCGTGCCTCAGTGGTTGACGTCAACCTATGAACCAGGAGGTCACAGTTAGATATCCAGTCAGAACATATGCCCAGGTTGTGGGCTTGATCTCCAGTAGGGGGTGTGCAGGAGGCAGCCAATCAATGATTCTTTCTCATCATTGATGTTTCTATCTCTCCCTCTCCCTCCCTAAAATCAATTAAGAATATATTTAAAAAGAAAGAAAAAAATGTTCACACATAAGAACAAGGTGGGTGGGCGGGTAGTGCCGCATATTAAACTGTAAAACACAGTTCCCCTCCTCTCCCAAAAAGTTACGTTTCTGTATACATATATACACATACATATTCACTCATTTCAATACCATACATTCATTCAATTAATCATTAAAGAGAAAACCATGAAATATAAAACAAGTTTAAGATTAAATCATAAATTAAAGAAGAGAGTAGTATCTTCAGAGGTTGAAATCAGAAAATTACAAAGGATCGAGCCAAAAAAAAAAAAATACTGGATTACCTGGCTAACCAGTCAAATGATGTTCAAGTAGAAGTTTATTTTTATTGGTCTCTGATTCCGCTGTTCAGCAAGTATTTTGATCCTGAAGATTTAAAAAACAAAGTATGTTGAATTTCATTGCCCTTTCTTAGTATTATTGGTCACACACAAATTAACTTTTTCCCTAGACATATGAAACAAAACAAAAAAGGCTATTAAGAGGCCTCTTTGAAGAATTTTAGCTGGTGCCTTATTTTGCCATATATTACTGCTTCTGCTTAAAAACTCAGGGATGGCATATACAATATGTTTTGTCACGGTTTATAAAAATGGATAACACAAAGTGGAATGGAGGAGACCCAGTTCCAAGTCCTGAAATGTGATCAAACCAGATAGCTAATTTGAACTTGGGACATCCCCCCCTGTCCAAAGAGAGTATTTAACAAATAACAATTAAAGATACTTATTAATACCCTGGCAGAAACTAGTACTTAAATACCCACAAGATGGATGGACAGACGAATGGGATGGATGGATAGACAGATGGACAGATGGACGGGGTAAGCAAGCAAGCAAGAAAAAAAAAAACCTGGATTTTTCCCCCCACTAGGAAAGACTGCATTTGAGTCACCAACAGGAAATATTTTTAAATGAAAGACAGGAAAATATAAAAAAATGAACATCTAAATGGCAGGCTTTTGCACTAATGTGGAGGTGATTCTAGTGCACAAACAAGTATCCAGCCGGTGTGGCTCAGTGGTAGAGCTTTGACCCATGAACCAAGAGGTCGCTGGTTCTATTCCTGGTCAGGGCACATGCCCGGGTTGTGGGCTCAGTCCCCAGTGTGGGGCAAACAGGAGGCAGCCAATCAATGATGTTTCTCTCTCATCAATGTTTATCTTTCTGTCTCTCTCCCTTCCTTTAAAAAAATCAATAAAAACACATTTTTTAAATAAAATCAAAATTCACCATCTTATGAATGGCCAAATGTAACAATAAAGCAACAACAATCTGACTATCACTAACTCTAGTAGTAGCTATATCAAGACAACAACCATAACTAGCCCTAAAGTCAACAGCATGCATGATGGAATTGGCAGGTCTGTTGGGAAGGTATAGAAGAAGAAAATGAGATATTCGAAGCCATGGCAAATTCCCAACCACAATATAGCTATATGATGTGATGGGTCTGTTGTAATTTTGAAACCCAAATTAAAGGTAAGAAAATTAGGGGATGGAGGTGGGAAGCACATCATATGTGGTACACAAAGGAAAAAGAGGAGAATCCAGGTAGTATATCAGTGCCATTCAAATAAAAACAGCTGATATATCTACTAACACATCTATTTATAAGCACAATATAGTCTCTAGGTTATAATTGAGAAATATGACAAAAACAAGCTGGTTCTTGGGCTAAATCTCCCTGATCCACAATAGTTGTTGGCATAATGGTTCGAACTTCGGAGTCCACCAGATCTAGACTCAACTCTCACTTACTAGCTAGGTACCTCTGAGTCAACTTAAGAATTCTTAGAGACTTAGATTTATCTTAAAATGGGAATCACACCAAAGAAGGCTCTTGTAAAGATAAAGTAGAAATGCTTAAAATTCCTTATTAGTACTTAATACATAAATGCTTAATAAAAGCTATCAGCCAAAACAAAAGATTACTTGACATGTAAGATTTTCCAAGCACACTGAAATGAAAAATAGGAGAAAACAATCATTCATTTTAGTTTTTAAATGAAACCAATGTGTTATGACTAATTTTTCTGATATCCAATTTAATTAGACGGAGATGAAAGGGGGGAAAGGCAAGCCAAACTTCTATAAAGAAAATCCAAGATTTCTGGCCCTGGTTTTAAATCAAGTATCACTTCAGAAATGGTTCTTTTGTTGATGCTCCTTTAATTGAGGGAAGGGAAAGAGTTTTGGGGTGAGCATAAGGCCTACAAAACAAGAGTGGTGGGTAGGAAAAAGAATTTGATTCAGTATATACCTAGTACCGTAACAACCAACCCAGGAAACAAGTACTGCTGCCCAGTGCGGAATGTTGGCAAACAGAGCCTACATTAACACTCAAGTATTATTGTACTGCTGGTGAGAACTATTTAAAGGAGTGCTGACCCACCCAATTTGTACCCCATAACCCTCATGTATCCAAAGAAACACCACCTACAAAATTCTCCGCTCCCAGAAGTGTGCAGTGGGGGCTAGAGAGGTCCCCAAATCATAGATCTATGGATCTATGGTTTGCCCCAAGAACCTGCAAGAGCTAGGTCTAAAAAGTACATATTCTAGGATCTTGTAAAGTATGGAACTATTAGGAAAACTACATTTAACTTGTCTAGAACCAAGATTCTACAAAGGCAACAGCCCTAAAAAAATTCTTGAAACTGTATTTCTTACTTTTATCAAAAATAAACTTAATTACTCTTACTCCTTTTTATAATTTAGACTTTAGTCAATCACGCATACAAAAATCAAATCACATTGAAATGAAAACTGAATGTCACATCCCAAAGAGGTAGCTGAGAAGGTGAGGGGTGGACATTAATTTTTCTACTACAATTAGCAAAAAGGTTACTGATGAGATCCACATCATCAAAACCTGCATCACGAGAAAGCTAATGGAGGAGGGGGTCAAACTGAGCTTTGTTAATAGCTGGTCTGAGAAAATGTGCCTTGAGGCCAAAACAAAGACTTAAACTGGGGGAGGGGTGTTGACAGGTAGAAGAAAATCCAAACTATAAGGTGCTAATGCTTGGAAACAGAAATAGACAAAAAGAAGCCACTGAGTATTATAAACATGTCTTTCTTTTGCTGTTGAACATGGAAGGAGGCAAGGACTCTACTATTAATCATATTAAACTCATTGTTCTTTCCATGCTGCTACGGGCAATGCTCCTAGAGACTCCCTCCGCAGTCCCCTAAAATCGAAGAGATGGGGAAATCACGTCTTTAGGGAAAGCCAGCTGTTGCCCACTCATCTTCAAAGCACTACAGAATAAGTTTCTGCACCAATTAAATTTCAGGTTCAAGGTTACCTAATATTGGTGTAAATTAAATTTAACATTCTTTTGCAGTTGAGATTATTCGTCAAGTGATAAATATATCCTTTGTTAAAACTATAACAACATTTTTAACTTGCAACTACAACCAATTTGAAGCTATACTAAAAGGGAAAAAACAGATGTTAAGTTAATAATCACATGAAAATTTAGTATTATATGGAAAGGTATCACTTTTTTGAAACTAAATAAACTCAACTCAGTAAAAGATTTTTTTTTTTTTTACTATTTGACTTAATTCCATTAAAGACAGTGTGATGACAAACCTTCTTAAATCCCATAATCTTTTTCACAAGGGGGGCAGGAATTATTTCAAATTACAGCATATGCATGTCTAATAAAGTAAGGACAGGGTCAAAAAAACTGAAATGTATTACCACTTATCATATGGTATATATTAAAAGGATCAAGCTGATTTATAATAATTTACTCTAGTCATGTAATAAATTATAATAAACATTTAGTCCTATCTGGAGTCCACCTGAAAATTTAACTGACGTAGTAAAAACAGAAACCTTGGTTTCAGAAAAGTCCTGCTTCTTGAAGTAACCTTGCATGAGACATTCAATTAAATGTTTGCTGTGTACCTATTAAATGCCAGATACTGCAGTGGCACTCAGAGTTATAAGCAAAATATGGTTCTTGCCATTAATTAGGAAAGAAGCAGGTATAAATAGCCACTATACTTCCCGAAATGAAAACTATGTTCATTCATTAAGCATTTGCTGAGCATGTACATGCTACACACTGTACCAGACACCAGGGATACAAGAACCAGAAGTTGAAGACAGAGTTCAATAATAATATTAAAGGAGGGAAGAGAGAACTGGATTGCTGTGTAACTTTACTGTAAAGAACTATTTAAATGTGAATGCAAGACAAATCCAAAACCATTTACCTCAACATAAAAGAGAGAATTATTGATAATATTTAAATGTACAGATAATTTCTGTAATTATTTTCCATAGTTATCATAACCAAAATGTCATTTGAATTTCTTTATAATGAAATGCAAAGAAGAAAGTAATTCTTATAAAAATGTTAGCCAATTGTGTAAAGATTACATGAGACATAGAAAACATTAATGGGGTATATATAACGAACATCTGCTGAAATGAGAGCTATTTTAACTCAACATATTCAGGAAATATGCTTACACAACGACACTATCCACTGATGAACAATGGCAGTAAATGTAACCATTCTGCATTTTTAAAATTACCTTGAGATTAAGGGGAAAACTAAAAAATCGGTTGGCAGACCAGTTTATTAACAGGCCCCACATCTTTGGCTGAGTTGTAGTTAGTAATGACATGGTTACTAAAACAGGCATGCAAGCAAGCCGCTTGCCGGTGCTTGTTCAGATTTCTCTCTCCCCCCTCTCCTGGAAAAACTGCATGCGGTGCTGCACGATCACACAAAATAAATACAGGAAGCCTGGGTGGGGAGGTGAGCGAAGCTCTGGGCTCCACCAGTGGAAGGCGTTCCACAAGAATTGCTACAGGGTCAAAAGTTTACAGTGGTTTCAATTTCACCTTTTAGCAGCCAATCAGGAAACAGAGACTGCTCGCTGACCCCTCAGGCTGCAAATGAACATTAACTCATTGGCTACCAGGATTGTATATATTCCTTTTCAGGGAAGGCTTTCCTTTTTCTTTCTTTTATTTGGGGAGGCAGGGAAGGTGGGGACGGAAGGCAAAACACATTTTAAGTTCAAGGTGACAAGACCATGTATATTAAACAGGCATTTGAGGGGGAAAATAATTGAGTAGTTATCACCTTTCTCCTTGAAATCAGTTTCTTTATCCTGTAGTAGCTAACAAACCAACCATTAATGCTAGTATCAAGACAGTGAATTTAGGTAGGTTAAAGTGGCAGATGTATCTCCATGAGATTCTAAGAACAATTTAAAATATAATGAAAGATAATGGCTGGTTGTGTTTCTAGTAAATACTTAAAAACAACTCAAAAAATGAAGACACTTAAAGTATTTATCTACACTCCAATTTTTTTTTTGCACAGATCCCCCAGC